GCCATGCTCGCCCTTCGCGCGCTCGGGCTGGGGCGCAGCCTGCAGGCCACGCGCGCGCCGCCGGGGCTGGGGGTCGTGGGCCGCTGGGTCACTCCGGGCCTCGCCTCCGGCCGCTCTCCGGCCGCCAGCTGGGTGGCCGTATTTGTAGGTGCGCGCGCCCTGAGCTCGCGCTCTGGAGCGCTCGGTGCCACACACGGTGTCACGTGCGGGGAGTGAAACCTGGGAGGAAAACAAAGCCGCAGGCGGCGGCCACGGAAGGAGGCGGCTGGAGGCCAAGGGCCCAGCGGAGGAGGAAGGGAAGGCTGGGCGGGGTTCGGCGGGGCAGTCTGTTCCCCAAAAGGTTTGTGGGTCCGGGGGAAGCGCGGGAGCCGAGCGCCTTTTCCTGGCGCGCTTGAATCAGGAATGTGAGGGTGTGAACAGAACCCCGGGAGTCAGGAATGAAGGGTGTGCCCAGGATAGTTAGGCGTTTTGGGGCAATTTCTTTTTGGGAATCCTAGAGATTTGACCTGTGAGCCAGGTAACTAGACCCTTAGAAATGCAGGTAGATGCGTTAGTTCACAGGCACTTCATGGGCGGACCCACCACAAACGTGTCTGAACCTTTGAGATCCGTATCTCACTCATTCTTAGGTAGAGGATGCATCCAGAGACTAAGATCTGTAGGCATGAAATCCCAGACACGTGAGCCGTGTGGCCAGACAAATTTACATCGATGTGCGGTCACGTTTTCAGGTCTCCACCAAAAGGCGACATACATTTTAATTTGGCGCTTAAACTTAAGTGATTCATTTTCTGTGAGCACCAAATTGGGTTAAAATGATCTTAGACCTTTCCCCCCGTCGCTTTATGTTTGGGAGTTTACGATATGATCCTTTTCCCCTCACTACAAACTTGGGCCATCAGATTCTGTTACTTTCTTGCGTTAATGTCATAAACATTGCTAGCGTCCCCATGAAAACTGTAGATTCCCAAGCAAGGGCATGATTCCTCTCCTAGAACTGTGATTAGATTAGGAAGGGGTCAAAGAGTCTTCTACCTACCCCCAGCCCCATTCATAAAGATCTTGGGAAGACACTGGGGATGTTACCTGCCTGCATCTCAATTGCAGCCAAGATTAATTGTCACACCGCATTACGCTTCTTGACACCTATGAAACCTCATACACTTCTCTCAGGCAGAAGCAATGTGTTTAAGACCAAGGACTTAATTTAATTAAAGGCTTAATTTTAGCTTTGGATGTAATGAGTAACTACATGGAAATTCCACTCCCTTTCAAGTTCAGGAAAGTAAATTGAGTAGTGGAGAGCACTTATACCTGTGCTGAGATGTGCCTGCCAACTCCCAGGGTGAGCGATGGGTGGATGTCAGGTTACACTTGGCCAGGACAAAAGAGACCCATGGCTACTTTAATGAATACGTGGTGTTCCTACTTTGTTTTATGCCATTTTTAAGCCTTTGGAATGAATAGAGCCTGTTGTCTATTTACCTCAGCCTTACTGTGGTTAAGCCCTTGGTGGGTAACTGGAAAGTAGTGGATTCCAACTCACCAGACAAAAAGTTGCGGTAGTCAGAGTCCTTAAAAATGACTGCCTTGGAAATCTTATTTTTGTACCTTATAGGATCACTGTGTCAGAATCCACGCCTTAACAAAAGATTTGGTTCTAGTTTACAGTTGTTGTTGTGTGTGCCTCCATAGCTGGTCCTCCAAGAGGTTTTCAAGGGCAATAATTTACCAAAGAGGAGGTTGTCCGTCCTTCTCCCACAGAGCAGGTGGTAGATACCAGCCCTATGCCTTTGGAATACAGTGAAGCTTCAGATCAATGAAATGAAACCAAATTCAGACTCATTGCCATCAAGTTGGAAAAGACTCAAAGCTGACTTTCCATGGGTTTTTGAGGCTATAAATCCTTGGGAGATGAGTGCCCATTTTTTTTTCCTCCAGAACCAGTTTGTGAATTTGAACCACGAGAGAAGTGTGCTCTTTGGCTTAACAGCACAATTCCCTATGGACTAGGCCTCCCATGCTCCATGAAATGAAGTCAGGATTTTAATGATTTGGCTTAGCTAACTACCTGGAAATTCCAATCTGCTTTATTAGAATTAACTTCATTTCCATGATCCCTGGCCCAGAAAGGTGGTGCTGGAAGGCAGTGCTAAATTAAAGAATGTAAGATGCTGCTCATTTATAAGGGGGAGGAAAAGGGATTTTATTTTCCTGTTACAAAAGTGGTAAATGTTAACTGGAGAACATTTAGAGAAGATAAGCAAGGAGAAGACAGTTAACATGACCAAACATCTCAACTCTAGAAATGTTTCTGTCCCATGAGTCTTTAAATAAGTGCAGACGTGCTGTTTTGTGTCTTACGATTTTTGTTTTTTATGTTGTGGTCAGGGGAGCTCTGGTAGCCTAGTAGGTGAGGAGATGCACTGCCAGCCTAAGGTAAGTGGTTCAGATTCTCCGGCTGCTCCAAGGAGGAGTCATGTACAGCCACTGAAAGCTGCGGGGTCAGCTATGAGTCAGTTCCAACTCGAAGACAATGAACAGCCAACCTGAGGTGATCACCTTTCCATTTAGGATAGTCTTTGATGGTATCATTTTAACCACTGTATAATATTCAATTAGGAGATGCTATAATTTATCAAGGGGTCTCTGGTGGTTTGGTGATAAGGAGCTGTGCTGACCTTCCAAAGGTACACAGTTCAGATCCACAGAAAGATGGGCAGTCTCTTCCTGTGCTATGAAACTGCCTCTGAAAACCTGCTGGAGGGTCGGTAGGCTATTCGATGGTATACACAATAAATAATTTATTAATTTATGACTTTTTATAAATTTAGCTACTTTTCAATATTATTTTCTAAAGGCTAAGTGAACAGTGTATCATATTTTTAAGGCTTTTCATTTAACATCTAAATGGGCTTGTTCCCATTTACTTGTCTACAAAGCACTTCCTCACTTGGCTGGCCACACTTTCTTTTCTATCAGCATTAATTTCTTTGCCATCTGATGTAACTCTTTGCCTATTTTAAATCCTCAAAGTATACAAACTGATTTTTAATGTTTAATAAAGCATGAAACAAGAACTAAGATTTCTTTACCTTCCATGTTGCTTCTGTAATCCCTTTGTGGGAATGATGTTTTGTGGTGGTGGTGGTGGTGTGTCAGTGAATCAAATCAACTCATAGCTGACCCTCCAGCAGATTTTCAGAGACAGTAAATTGCACGGAAGGAAGTTGCCCATCTTCCTCCAGTGAAGCACCTGGCTGATTTGAACCGTATGCTGTGGGGATTGCAGTGCAGCGTCTTACCTCTGGGACCATGCTGTTGTGTATTGTTGAATCTGAACCAACCCACAGCTCACCCTCCGGCAGGATTTCAGAGGCAGTTAATCCCAAAGGAGAAGATTGTCCATCCTCCCTAGAGCATCTGGTGGATTCAAACCATATGCCCTTGGCATTGCAGTGCAGCTGCTTGCCACTAGACTACCAGAGCTCCCTAGAGATCATGAGAGATATGATTTATTAATATCTATTTTAAACCACCAGGGACACGCTGGTGGTTTAGTGGTAAACATTTGTGCTGCCAACCCAAAGACACGGAGTTCGAACCCACCAGCTGCTCTTCAGGAGAAAGGTGGGCAGTCTCCTACCATGTGATTTGCTTTCTCTGAAAACATGCTAGAGAGTCAGGTATGAGTCAATGGTAAATAACAACATGCAAAGATCATGGAAAGCTCAGTATCATCAATCAGAATAAAGCTAGGGTCCCATTAAGTCAAAAGCAAATTCAAATTAAAGCTGAAGACGATGAAAACAAATCTATGAGAACCAAAGTCTAAGACTGAATATTTCCCACCTGAATTTTTCTAACATCTCAACAATTTTGATGCAATGAACATTAATGACCAAATATTAGCCAAGTTGTAGAAGGACGTCATAAATGAAGAAAGCAAAAGGCCAATATAAAGAAAGAAAAGACCAAAATGAGTGTCAAAAGAGTCTCTGAAATTTGATCTTAACATGTTGTTGTTGTTGTTATGTGCTGTCAATTCTCTTGCGACTCATAGCGACCCTATGTACAACAGCCCTAAACCCTGGTCTATCATGTGCCAATCTTACTGTCTCTGACACACCCATCCCAATTACCCCAGTCACTGAATCAATCCATCTCATTAAGGGTCTTCCTCTCTTGCCCTGTCCCTCCACACTTCCAAGCATGATGTCCCTTTCCAAGGAATGGTACTTCCTTGTAACATGTCCAAAGTATGTCAGACCAAGCTTCAGAATCCTTGCCTCCAAGGAGCAGCCTGATTTCACCCTCTCTAAGATGAACCCATTTGTTCTTTTAGCAGCCCATGGTATATTCATTGCTCTTCTTCAGCACCACAGCTCAAAGGCATCAATTTTTCTATCATCCCTAGTCATTGTCCAGCTTTCTGATGCATAGCCAAGACTATGGCCTGGATCAGGCACAACTTAGTCTCCACACTGACATCAATGCTCTTCAGTACTTTGGAGAGGTCACTGACAGCAGCCCTTCCCAATGCAATTAATCTTTTAATTTCCTGGCTGCTGGTACCAAGAATGTTGATTGTGGAGCTAAGCAAACTGAAGATGTTAACAATCTCAATCTCTTCACCATCTATCATGATGCTACCCATCGGCTCAGTGGTGAGAATCTTTGTTTTCTTGATGTTGAGCTTCATTCCATAATGAAGGCTGCAGTACTTTACCTTCTGCAGCAAATGTGTTAAGTCCTCAGTTTCAGCAAGCAGAGTTGTGCCATCTGCCTAACACAGATTGCTGATGAGTCTTCCTTCATTCCTGATGCCACATTTATCCTCCTGGGGTCCAGCCTCCGAGATAATATTTCTGATCTTGACATAGAGTAGCTAAAATAAATGGGGGAAATGATGCAATAAAAGAGATGAATAGAAAATTTCAAAGGGTGGCTCGAGAAGACAAGAAAAATACTTTAATGAAATGCAGAAAGACCTTGAGATAGACACCTGAAATAGAAGGACACATTGGGTATTTCTCAAGTTGAAAGAACTCAAGAAAACATTCAAGTTTCAATATTGAAGGATATAGGCAAAATATTGAATGGGAAGCAAGCATCTAAAGAAAATGGAAGAAATACATATTTAATATACAAAAGAAATTGTCTGACACTCATTTGTTTTAGGAGGGAAGATATGGTTAAGAACTGATGACCAAGTGGGA